AGCAAAAATGATTCACCTCTGCTTCACTTGGCCTCTGTTGGGGTGGCTTGAAAGCTGGGGGCTGGATCCATCTGGGGGTTGGCTCCACTCAAGTTGACGCTTGCTGTCAGCTGAGCCTTAGCTGGACTGTTGGCCAGAACACATACATGGGGCCTCTACATATAGCTTGGGCTTCTTCAAACAGTTCTAAGGGTGAGTGTCCCAAGGGAAAGTCATGTGGAAGCTGTATCATGTTTTATGGCCTCACCTCAGAAGTCATACAGCATCATTTCCGCTGTATTCTATTTATTAAAAGTGAGTTACCGAGGGAGTGGAATCAGACTCTACCTTTAAATGGGAGAAGTATCAAAGAATTTGCAGACATGTTTATAAACCACTACAGGCCTGAATGGGATGGACTCTGTTTATTCACTTGATGGGTAGAGGGTGGGCACCTCATCTTTCCCCTCTTTTTTTTTTTTTAAAGATTTTATTTATTTATTTGAGACAGAGAGAATGAGATACAGAGAGCATGAGAGGGAGGAGAGTCAGAGGGAGAAGCAGACTCCCTGCCGAGCAGGGAGCCCGATGCGGGACTCGATCCCAGGACTCCAGGACCATGACCTGAGCCAAAGGCAGTCGCTTAACCAACTGAGCCACCCAGGCGCCCTCTTTTTTTTTTTTTTTAAAGATTTTATTTACCCATATGAGAGACAGAATGAGAGAGAGTACATGAGAGGGGGCAGGGTCAGAGGCAGAAGCAGGCTCCCCGCCAAGCAGGGAGCCCGATGCGGGACTCGATCCCGGGACTCCAGGATCATGACCTGAGCCGAAGGCAGTCGCTTAACCGACTAAGCCACCCAGGCGCCCTCATCTTTCCCCTCTTTTAGACTCTTCCTTGGGAATCCAAGAGGAAAGTTAAGCCTGGGGATATAGTCAAAGAAGAGCAGCCATTCAGGCTCTCGAGTTAGACGTACTTGGATTTTAATCCTGGATCTGCCATTTACCAACTCTGTGTTCTTAGGTAAGTCACTTAACCTAGGGTAAGCCTCCTATTCTTCATCTGTAAAATCACAGTATCTTCCTCATGGGGTCATTGTAAGGATTAAGTGAGTTAATAGCTGGGTTTTATATATATATTCAGAGCAGTGGCTAGTTCATAGTAAACACTCCACGTTAGCTATTTCTAATATGATTACTCAATATACGTTTATCAATATTTAACTCATGCTCAAGTGAGTTCTGGGATGGATGCTATATGCTGGAATTATGAAAATGAGCATGAAGGGGTTCAACCTTCCAGGAACCTACAGCTATATTCCTACAGGATTATATGTATAAAAATATAAATATATATTCATATTATATATAATAATATATAATATATAAATATAATATATCTTATATGTATTGTATATAAAATAATATATATGTATATATATATATATTTTTTAAAGATTTTATTTATTTATTTGACAGAGAGAGACACAGCCAGAGAGGGAACACAAGCAGGGGGAGTGGGAGAGGGAGAAGCAGGCTTCCCACGGAGAAGGACCCTGATGCGGGGCTCGATCCCAGAACCCTGGGATCATGACCTGAGCCGAAGGCAGACGCTTAACGACTGAGCCACCCAGGCGCCCCTGTATATATATATTTTTAAGTAATCTCTACACCCAACGTGGGGTTTGAACCCATGACTCCAAGATCAAGAGGCATATACTCCACCGACAGAGCCAGCCAGGCACCCCTGGGATGTGTTTTAAGCATGCAGGCAGAGTCCAGGCTTCAGAGTCAGCCAGACCTGATTCTCATTCTGGGTTTGTCTATAGTTTCCAGTTGTGGGAACTTGGACCCATCTTTCACTTTCTCAACCATAATTTTCTCAGTTGAAAATGAGAATTATGATAGTACCTACCTCACTGGGTATTGGTGAGGATCAAATTAGGTAATCAGGGTAAAAAGCTTAGTACAATTCCTGGAGCATGGTAATTACTTAATACGTGTTAACTATTAATTTCATTTATCAGGAAGTAGGCTAATTAATGAAGACATTGCAGTCCAAGGTAAAGAGTGCTGTACTGGATGGGGAAACAAGCTGCTAAAGGAGTCCGGCAGGAGATTAACTTTGCCGGGAAGAATTTCAGAAAGCCCTGAGGAGGTAATGTTGGACTGGGTTTTGAAGAATGAATAAGAGTTTTCTGGCTGAGAATGAAGAAAGAGAAGGCATTCCAGGCGGAGGGAAGAAGATCTGCAAAGGCATAAAGAGAAGGTGTTGACATGTTTGGCTGAGGGTGATAAATTCAATGTGGGAGTTTAAGGTGTATGGTATGAAGGGAAGGAGGCTGGAAAACAGAGTTCAGGTCAAAGCATTGGCTTATGTGGGAGAAACTGTAAGCCATCTGTAAGCTGGGGGGATTCGGTAGAGTGTGGAGAAAGGCCAGTAGTGAGGCTGGAGAGAGGTTTTATAGGTGGAACAGATAGGCTCAGGGGAATATTTTATGTGTGCGTGTGGGGGAGGGCAGTGAGGGAAATAATGGCCATCTGCTGAGGAGTCAAGGGAGGAGGGCGGGGTTTGAGTGGATGGAACAAAGCTATGGGATGGGGAGTCCAAAAACCTGGCTCTAAACCCACCTGGTATACCGCTGAGTATCTCCATGATCTTGAGAGTGTCACACTCTCAAGACACTTATTTTTTTTTAAGATTTTATTTATTCATTTGACACAGAGAGCACAAGCAGGGGGAGTGGCAGGCAGAGGGAGAGGGAGAAGCAGGCTCCCCGCAGAGCAGGGGGACCCCAATGTGAGACTCGATCCCAGGACCCGGGGATCATGACCTCAGCTGAAGGCAGTTGCTTACCCAACGGAGCCACCCAGGCGCCCCAGAGAGCGTCACACTATTTTATCCTTAGTTTTCTATTGGTAAATAATATGGCTTCTATCGGCTACATATAATTATTGTGAAAAAGAAAAGAGGTAATGAGTAAGTGCTTTGTAAGCAGTAAATAACAAAACAAATATCAGAACTTATGTTATTAGGGAGGCGGTCAATTGCATGGAATAGCACAGCTAAAGCAGAGTTTAGGTGAGATGGAAGGTAAGGGTATCTGTTCTACTGTTCTGGGGTGAAGATAAACACACACACACACACACCAGATAAATACAGTAATTTCCACACTAGGACTGGGCTGGGTCTACAGGAGGGCAATGGGAAACTCAGTTCCACCACCAGTGACTTTACCAGTTGTGCTATAGATGCTTTCACCTCTCACTTGGATTTAAGATCCAAATCTGGGGCGCCTGGGTGGCTCAGTCGGTTAGGCGACTGCCTTCGGCTCAGGTCATGATCCTGGAGTCCCGGGATCGAGTCCCGCATCGGGCTCCCTGCTCGGCAGGGAGTCTGCTTCTCCCTCTGACCCTCCTCCCTCTCATGCTCTCTGTCTCTCATTCTCTCTCTCGCAAAATAAATTTAAAAATCTTAAAAAAAAAAATCCAAATCTGGAGTCTTTGGCTGGGCTTCAGGTATCTGGGGAACCATCAGAATTTGTGAGTAAAAGTCATGCTGTAAATTTCTTGGGCCAGAATCCACAGTCTCTAGCCGACTCTCAGAAGCATCTGTGACAACCCCCCTTCGTCCCCCAAAGGTTAAGAGTCATTGAGTTTCTCACCAGAAATTGAGAAATTTCTCACCAGAAGGCGACAGATGATCATTTTTAATTTTTGACTTTTCTAAGCTACTTCATTTTTCGAAACAAGGACATGTTTCATTGAACCATGAAATGAAAAGTTTCATTGAAAAAAACTCATCAGGGGCACCTGGGTGGCTCAGTCAGTTAAGCGTCTGCTTTTGGCTTGGGTCATGATCCCAGCGTCCTGGGATCAAGCCCCAAAGGGAGCCTGCTTCTCTTTCTCCCTTTCCCTCTGCCTGTCGCTCCCCCTGCTTTTGCTCTCTCTCTCTGTCAAATAAAATCTTAAATAGAAAAGAAAAGAAAAAAAAAACAAAAAAAAAACCTCATCGGGGTTATCTGGATGGTGCCATAAGCGCCCTGTTTAGATTTCATCCTTATACCTCTTTGTATTAAACACAATAAACACAAATATTACTAGCTGTTATTTTTAAAAACCCTGATAGTGTCAGCGCGTGAGCAAACACACACACACACACACACACACACACCATTCCATTATGCAAGGTACATCCCCTATTTTGTAAGGTAAAATGTCTACATTTCCTATAAACTACTGGCTTCAATGCAGTGAAACTTGGAATCGAAGTAGACTAGACGAAGAAGAAAAAGGCAGGCAATTTCAAGTATTCCAGCTCAGACTTATAAAAATAATGTGTATATGTGTCAATCTTCACATGCGCTGCCGTCTGCCTTCTTGTGAACCCGCCAATGTGCGAGAGCCGTTGGCGTTTGATGCTTGAAGCGACGGAACGGAGGACAGGGTTAAATCCACTACCCTCTCCCCACGCACTCCAGTAATTACTCTATTTCCACGTCATGTTTCCGGGTGTGTGTGTCCCGACTCACGCAGAAACTGAAGTTCAAAGCAGGCGGGAGTCACCCATGTTCTTTTTGCTGTCCCCAGAAACCCAATTCTGGCGTTGGGCCCCCTGAGGATCTGGCGATACCTGGGGACTGTCTAACTGGTTGATTCCCACGTGGTAAGTGGCTTGCAAACTCGCCCCCACGTGGTGCCAAGGGCTGGGAAAAGGGAGAGCAGGCAGGAGAGAGCCGCATCAGGGGCATTTAAAGTGTCCTGACGTCAGGCATTGCCAGGAACTCAGCTGAGTTTTCAGCAGGACATTCCGGTAATCTTCCCTCCCTCCCCCCGGGTTTCTGTGCCCAAGGCCGCGGCTCTTCTTCTGCTGTGGTGGAGGGAGGAGCACTAAGTGCTAGGAACAGCCAGAACTGGGGCGTTCCCAGCCTAATGTTGGCCCCGCCCTTTACCCAGAGGCTCTTCTCATTGGCCAGTGGGTGGGGCTTCGGGTGTACTGTATATGCACCAGTGCTTCTGGGAGGCCGGGGAAACTGGCCGTTTCATGAATTATGCAGAAGCGGCGTGTCTCTGCCAGGCTAGGGCTGGGCGGGGATTGGCTGGAGGGGCTGTAATTCAGCGGTTTCCGGAGCTGCCGCGGCGTAGACGGGGAGGGGAGTCTGGGGTTCCGACGTCGCCGCGGAGCGAGCGAGCCCGAACCGGATCCTTGACGAGCTGCCCTGCTCGGCGCTCTCTCTCGGTGTCTGCCAGGAGAGGCCCCGCGGCCTGAGGGAGCCCCGCGGCCCGCACCCCGGCGCAAGCGCAGCCCCGACCTATCGGGCCTGAGCCCGAGAAACAGGTGAAGGGGGTGAAGGGTGGGGCCGACGGCCCCCAGGCCTGGGGATCCGGAGGGGGGCGCGGGAGGGGCCGGGAGCCTCTGCAGTGTTTGGGGGAGTTGTGGATGGAAACTTAAGTGGGGCGGGGGGGGGAATACGTGGAGACGCGAGGGTCGATCTGAAGGGACAACTCCCGGGATGACAGGAGCGGGCCTCTGAAGGGACAGGGGGCGCTGGAAGGAAGTTTCGTTCTTTGGAGAAAGGGCAGACGCCGAGGAAGAGAGAAAATGGACTCAAGGGGGAAGACAGTGGGGCGAGGTCACTCCAGGGTGGGGGTGGCAGGAGTGAGGGACAGCCCCCCGACTTCCTGCTCCCAGAGGCTCTGGGGACGTTCCGGCCACAGGAGCAACTGTCAGGCCGGCAGAGATCACGGGCGGGAGGTGGGGGTGTTGGAAAGAGCTTTCTCCCCTCTCCCCGGCGGCGCCCGGCGGCGCCCGGCGGCTCCCGGCTGAGCCAATTCCTCGGCCTTGCCCTGTTCCCTCTCCTTTAGGAGCCAGCTGTGCCCCTCTAGAGGTGGGAATAGGTGTCTTCCTCCTACAGCCCCACAGGCTGGTTGGTTGTGGGTAGGATTATTGCATAAGAATCAAGTTTCCTGTAGGGAAATTGACAGTCTTGTACTCTTTATAAATTCCCTCCACTCTTTTTTTTTTTTTCCCTAGATAAAACCTTGCTTCCCTCCTCCCCTTCTAAAAACAAAGCAAAATAAAACCCCCATCAAGCCAGTTCTAGAGAGAAATAAACCTCTTTCTTCCTGGACATTGTTCTTTTATAAACACCTGGTAAACTTGGCCAGAAGATAAATAATTGAGCCCTTGCGTTCACTGGATTGTGGTGTTGCTTAATTGCACAGGACAGAATGAACCAATCGAGTGTGGGAGTTTTCTGTCTTTGAGCCAAGATCTTGGGTAAACGCAGAGGGAAACAAAGACAGGCTGGCCTTGGCGAAGCCGATCGTGCAAACTTTACCTGTGATTGGGGGGTGTGGTTGGGCTTTAGTTAGCGAAATTCAAACCATCATCCAAGTTGCTTTTTCCATGTTTAGTGCACATCTTTCTGTGTTACATCAAGTGTGTGTGGTATTGACACTTAAAAAAAAATAAAAATGTACATAATGTGTATCTGCTGGTTTTTATCATGTGTGCATCTACAGGCTATATTCTGTGTATGGGTTGTAACTTTTTGGCTGGCTGTGCTGATAAAGCATTGGTTGGAATAAATCAGAACGATAAATCATCTCAGTCTTTCATATGTGGATTTAGACTGTTATGACTTGATTCAGCCAAATTTCTGTTTTATATTAAATATGTCTGTGTTCCCTGAGTTGACACATTTATTTCCTTGTTACATGTGCCGGACTGGAACACTAGCAGAATTTTTGCTCAGACATTTGCATAGTGGGATGGGGAAAAAAAGTCTGGAATACTGAAAAAAAAATTTGTTGTAGATATTGGAGGATTGATCTTAAAGTCTATATATTTGTTAGCATATCCACCACAGAGAACCACTAGCAAATTCACGGGTCTTTTATTTCTGTATATAGTACTTTTGGGAAGAATAACTGTTTAGAAATATCCACAGCTGTGACTTGCCTTACAAAGGGTAGATAGTTCGTATGACATTAACCCCATTTTATAGATAAGGAAACTGAGGCTAAAGAAACAAGGCGCTTGCCCAAGGCAGCAGAGTGTCATAGTGGTAGAACTTGTACCTTTGGCATATTTTGTGTTATTTTGACCTATGTTAAATATTAGATCTTGATTTACAGTGAGTGTAGACCCTGCTGGGAAAAGTGTCACTGAAATTCTCACATCTATCTGGACAGTGAAATACCACAAATAGGCTGTAAGACTCCAAGGGAGATAGCCAATAAACAGATGCAAAAAGAAGTAGAACTAGGGTTTTGCTTAGGTTATTTTTCCATCTGCTTTGTACAACTTGGGAAGTCACTAACTTCTTAGTCAGCGTAACTTGTCATCAGAATTTAGCTATTTGCTAATGGAGAGAGATAAAAATGCCATTTAAATCCAGAGTGCCTTGTGGCTTGATCAGTGATCATTTGTGTCTCTAGAAAGTTGCTTTCTCCTCCTGCCTCTGCTTGTCTTGACTTTCTGATGTGAGATGGGGCAGAGGTTGTGACCATTCCAGATGCTGAGTCCAGCACCTTTTTACCTTATGGTTTCCCCAGAGGTGGTGTACAGATCAACAAATATTTGCTTTTTGCAACTTTGTGAAAGTTGCCATGAAGAATCAGAGGCTTTGTTCACAGGACTTGCAGTCCACTGAGGGGCCTTGATAAATGCTTTATCCCTATAGGGCAACATGTCCTCAAAGAGGTGGTGAGGTGTTAAGCCTGTGCCATCCAAAAAGGTAGCTGTTACATATTAAAGTATATATAAGCACATCTATAGAACATTCCCATTGTCCTGGAAAGTTCTGTTGGACAGTGCTGCACTAAGTGCTATGGTCTTTGGAGGAAGGAGAGGTTACGAGGCCTGGAATGGCCTAGGAAGTCTTCTTGCCAAAGGAGAGATTTGATATGGGTCCCAAATAATAGCTGAAATGTGATAGGTGTAAAGAATTTGGGGTGAGGAGGTATGGTGGTACAATAGGAACAAAATCCTGGTAGATTAGGAAGGTAAGTAGGGGAGGAGTGTCTACTCGTATAAGAGGCCTTGAAGGCTAGACCCTGGAATTTCAGGTTTTGTCCTTCCAAAGATTTGTGAGGCCAGGTATTGGTGTTTAATTATGGAGTGCCTACTGTGTGTTGGGCGCGTGCCTGGCATTGGTTAATTTGTACAAAGTAGATCAGTGCACATGGCCTAGGGGAGTTGTCCTTGGGCCTGAGCTTATAAGTTGGGCCAGCACCCAGAGAGGTGTTCTGACTTAACAGATTGATGTGTTTAAGTGCAGAAATGTCTTTTAGGATTTTTAATTGACTGTAAATGGCCACTTACATTTTATGTCTTCCATATTTAAACAATTTTACTATAACTTTTGGGTCATTTATAAAAAACACCAAAAGAGCACTTGAGGATGTCCCCAAATCTTGAAGAAGTCCTGGTTCCTGGAGCAGCCTTGGTGAGATCCAGCAGGATGACATTGCCGGGCTGTTTCAGTCTTTGTCAGTTATGGTGAAAAGAATTAATGTCCCAGTTACACATTTGTCACTCGGAACCTCGGCTTACTATGGTGCACTTTAGGCTGGATGGCCAGATGATACTTTGGCCATTTGGTCAGTTGTTTGAAATGTCTCCAGTTTGGGGGGCGCCTGGGTGGCTCAATCGTTAAGCGCCTGCCTTCGGTTCAGGTCATGATCCCAGGGTCCTGGGTTCGAGCCCCACATTGGGCTCCCTGCTCAGCCAGAAGCCTGCTTCTCTCTCTCCCACTACCCCTGCTTGTGTTCCCTCTCTCACTGTGTATCTGTCAAATAAATAAATAAAATCTTTTAAAAAAAAAGTCTCTAGTTTTTAAAAGGAACAGCATGTGGAAGGATGAATTTCCGTTCTGCTCAGTTCTCATTATGTTAGGATTATCACAACTCTTCGGTCAGGCAGCAAACGTTTTATTTCATTTTTGTTTTGTTTTAATTTATTTATTATCAGCAAACATTTTATACTGAAAGCCAATTACTATGCTAGGCGGTATCCAAGGGTAATGAAATATTGTTACTATTTTACTATTTTCATGGAACTAGAGGCATTGTGCGGACCAGGGTGTGAGTTGCTTCAGGATGGACACAGGGCAGGGGAGGTGACAGGATAAGAGGTTCACATCACATCTGATGCTCTGGAGTCAGATTCGTCTGGGATCAGATCCTGGATCTGCTACTTCCTCCTCAGAACTGAGTCTCAGTTTCTTATCTGTAAAAGTAGAGGATAACAGGGCCTATCTCCTAGGTCTGTTGAAGAGTCAATGAGATAATATAGGTAAAATGCTTAGCATAATGCCTGCCCCACAGTGAGAACTCCATAAATCTAAGTTCCTATAAAATATCCCAGAAAAGAGATTCATTCTCTTCAGGGGTGGGAAAAGGCTTTATCACAGAGGGGTTTTATCAGGTCGGAATGCCTATGAACGGGGTTTTGTAGGGTGAATAGGAATTCTCCCAACAAAGTTGAGTTGTGAACAGTTGTGTTCAAGGCCAGGAAACATGAATGTGTAGAGGCTTAACACAGAAGAGAGTGTCCAGGGATCTACAAGTGCAGGTTCTTTTTTTTTTTTTTTTTTAATATTTTATTTATTTGAGAGAGAGATGAGAGAGCACACACCGGGGGAGAAGCAGGCTCCTCACTGAGCAGGGAGCCTGATGTGGGGCTCGATCCCAGGACCCTGGGATCAGGACCTGAGCTGAAGGCAGACGCTCAACCGACTGAGCCACTCAGGTGCCCCCAAGTGCAGGTTCTTAATTTAGGAGGGCTGAACTGAGGGGAGAGGAAGCCGCTGAGCTACAGCTCTTCCCCCTACTCTTCTGTTCTTATTGGGTTCACATGTCATTAAAACTAAGTTGTTTGGTCCTGCTTACAAAAGAAATATATGCTATTACAAAACATTCACATTTGTAGAACTATAAGCTATGTGTATTTTATATATATATATATCCTGTTAATAGTTGTATTAATGTTTAATGGTGTGTATATCTCCAGATTTTTTGCAACTTTTTCTACTTACCAATTTATCTTGGACACATTTTTTGCAAACTTCTTTTTAGTAGCCTAATAAAAGAACAATAAGGAAGGCAAATCTACCCCCCAAAATACAATAAGGTTTGGATTATCTGGTTTTTCTTTCTGCTACCCCCACCCAGAAGAATAAATGACTCTTCTAATCACTGAACTTTTGCCTGACCTTTGGCTTTATAAGTACATTGGACAAGGAACTTATTTTGAACTTTCCCAAGGTAATACTGTAGTGTAAAAATGCTTGGGCCGTGTGTTCAAGGGTCTCATGATCCAAAGTTGCTATA